CTCGGTCTTCTCCTTTTTCATTCTCATAAGCAGCAAAAGGAGCATAGCAATCAAGTTGCTTCTGTAATCCATTTTCAGTGATCACATGTCAACAAAAGTCCAAGTCCTCTCACTGAACAAAAAAAAACACATTGAATAAGGACACAGGAAATAGGAGGGCACAAATGCACTATGGGTAGTCAGGACCAAAAAAAAAAAAAAATACAGTTGCTATAGAAATGGCAAGAATGTACCACCACAGTTAAAACACAGCCGCATGTAAGCTCAAGTAATCACAGGTTATTGTAATGTACTACCGCAAGTGATCGCTGTGCCTGGAGTCTTGGAACTTCAAAATAACAAAACATGCAGTAGAACAGCCACTCGTGTGAAAGGGGCCTAAATGATCCAAAACCTGATTTAAAGCATGAACTTCTAAACACTGGTAAAAGTTATGTGGGAGGCATAAAAAACTGGTAAAAGCAATGTGGGAGGCATAAAAGTTGTTTATACTTCCAAGGTGTCTTCTCCTGCAAAGGCTAACAGTCCTATGTGTCATTATCAGAGGGCCCTTTTATTTTTTGCGAGAGGTAAACAAGTCTCCACCATTTTTGAGTAATTGTTGCTCTTTCCTTTCACTTGCAGTAGGGTCAGACAGTCAATAGGGCATTGTTCTTTATGGCAATAGACCTTTCCCACAGATTGTACAGAAGTACCATGAGATCCGGTTGCAGTGCGTTTCCAATAGTAATGCATACACTACTTTTTGGTGCAGTGCAATTTAGACCCAATTAAAATAATTAGGCACAAATTGTATTGCACGTGAATCGCACAGGAACGCGTAGCACATTTCTGTGTATTTCGTAATGTGAACCAGCCATCAAGAAAAAAAGCTTTAATTCTGCTATAGGTTTGCTGTCCATCAGATTACAACTTTTCTGGTGTTATGGAGACTGACTTTAGAGTACCAGTGCTTTCCACTGAGTGTTGGGGGAGCTGAACCAAGCTGGTTATTACGATTTCACAAGGCTTTAGCTGTATTTATGGTGAAGCTGCACAGTGATGAAATGGTTACATGTGCCTTTCTTAGACGTGCTGTGATCAGAAGGTCACTTGTTCACTTCCCAGCAGGGCTGAAATGACCTTCTGTCCCGTAGAATTGAGGCAGAAAAATATCTGCAAAGATTGCTGTTTCCAGCATTGTACCTCCTAATAGTGATAGCAACTTGTTTTTTTGTGTTAACAAATATTCTTAAAGAGTACCTGTCACCCACACTGTAGACAAGGCCATTGTGTGGGTTAAACCAGACTTCAACTTATCAGCTGACTTGAAACAAACAATTTTACTAGTTTCTATTTAATGGGTCTCAGTGACAGAAAAAGTGATGTCTCTGCACAGCAGTAACTGAGGATGCAGCACTTCCTGTAGATGTAATGGGAAAGTATGTCTGGTATAGAAAAACATATCATTACATAGTAAAGTGCCTCGCAAAAGTATTCACCCCCACGGTGTCTTTCCTTTTTTGTTGCACTACAACCTAGGATTTTGGGGGCTTTGTACACAACTTTAAAGGTACAAAGTACCCCCTCTCCCCTCCCCACCCCCCCCTCACTAGTAGTCATCTGTGAATGAGAGACTACAACTCCAGACAGCCTTAGCGGCTGTCAGCTTGTAGTCCTCAATAAACTACCATGGCTCTGTAAAACACCATGGTAGTTCATTCATTCTTCCTGTCAGTATATCTGCTTGTTCATACATACCATACGGGCAAGCATATATATTGACAGATCTGCAGGAGACCTGCATGGCACCAGCGATCTGCTGATCGCTGGTGCAATGGTTTACAGGATCCTGCAGGCAGAAATAATAAATGGACATTTTTTTTTACCTGCAAAAAAAATGTGCTTTTTTTTTTTTTTTTTTTTTTCTAAAAGGTGAACTTCTCCTTTAATTGAACAAGCTGAGGTTAGAAGCTGATTTGCTACCATGCACAGGTGCAACAGATTCTGAGTGCTCCAGTTTTAGTAAATCTACCCCAGTTATTATTTCTAGTGGCTATAGCCGCTGCCAGTAATCACATGTAAAAATACAACATGCTGGTTGTACCCAAGTCATACAACAGTCTAATTGTGTACACTCAGTCTGCCCATAGATGATTTGAATGTCGGCTGGTCCCTGCTGAACTGGCAAGATTCAAACCATCTATGGCTGGCTTAAAGTGTTACTAAACCCAGGACGCTGCATTCACTATATTTGGTCTCCCACAGTACACAGAACATGGAAATGCAATTATTTAGTAAATATAAACTGCTAAATACATTTTCTCATCAGCAGTTACAGCAGTCTTGTGACTTCTATCAGTGTCCAGCTGAGCACTGTTAAAGCTTGTAGGAGGCGTTTTCTTTCTGCTCTAGAGGATGGAAATCCCCAGACCTCTGCCTGGACAGTGCTGATTGGCCCTTTGCTGATCACATTTACAGGAGAAAAAAAACTCTAGCAATACACACAACACTGAGCATACTGGTGTACACACTATGTATTAGCATATAAGAAGGGGAGGATCAGAGAAGTCAGGATCAAACAGTGTTTTTTACATAATGTGGAGGATTAACCCCTTAGGTTCCACAGTGAGTATAACAAGCATGCTTTACTGCATACACAGACTGATTTTACTGTTGTGGGTTTAGTAACACTTTTAAGTAGAACCACGATTAGCTGCTAGTCCTGGTGTATGTCTCCATTAGCTTTGCACATGTAGCCACTGGGCTATTTGCCCATTCTTTAACCACCTCCTGCCCACCATATAGTAATATGATGGACGCAAGGCGGTTCTCTTGTTCTGGGAGGACGTCATATGACGTCCTCCCATTCTAACTGTGCATGCGCGGCTCCCGGAGCGCGCAGCGTGCAGATCGGCGGTGCGCTGTCCCTTGGATCACCGTTCCACAGAAAGAGCCGAAGATGTCGGTTCGGTCATGTGATCAGCTGTGTCCAATCACAGCTGATCACATGTAAATAGGGAAATGCTGGTTATTGGCATGTCTCTCCTCACGAGCTGTCACGTGGACAGTTCGTGAGGAGAGGAGATCCGGTAATCGGCATTCCTCAGAGGGGACATGTACACAGATCATCAGAGCACTGATGATCAGTGTGCCCTGATCTGCGTAGCCCCAGCAGCGCCACCTGTCAGTGTCAATCATTGCCAGCTCTCAGTGCTCATCCATGCCACCTGCCAGTGCCACATTTCAGTGCCCATCTGAGCTGCCCGTCAGTGCCGCCTATCAGTGCCACCTATCAGTGCCCATCATTGCAGCTTCATTAGCACACATCAGTGAAGGAGAAAAATCACTTATTTACAAAATTTTATAACAAAAACTAAAACTTTTTTTTCAAAATTTTCAGTGGTTTTTGGTTTAAAGAAAAAAACAAACAAACCCAGAGGTGATTAAATACCACCAAAATAAAGCTCTATCGGTCACACAAAAATGCTAAAAATGTCATATGGGTACAGTGTTGCATGACCGCGCAATTGTCATTCAAAGTGCAACAGCGCTGAAAGCTGGAAATTGGCCTGGGCAGGAAGGGGGTAGAAGTGCCCTGTAGGCTAGTGGTTAAGGCAAAACTACTCCAGCTCCTTCAAGTTAGATGGATTGCTTTGATGTACAGCAATCTTCAAACTATTCCACAGATTCACAATTGGATTGAGATCTGGACTTTGACTAGGCCATTCCAACACATTTTAAATGTTCCTTTTAAACCAATGCAGTTTATTCTTTTTATCAGTATATTAAGGTTGCAGCTGGAAGGTGAACATCCTTCTGAGCCTCAAATCTCTGGCAGACTAAAACAGGGTTTCTTCAAGAATTGCCCTGTGTTCATTGCCCTCCATTTTTCTTTCATTCTTGACCAGTTTTCCAAGTCCCTGTTGATTAAAAGCATCTACACAACATGATGCTGTCGCCACCATGCTTCACTGTGTGGATGAGGTTTTCCAGTTAATAAGAAAGTGTTGGATTTGCACCAAACCTAGCATTTCCCATGATGGCTAAAATGTTCAGTTTTAGTCTCCTCTGACCAGAGAACCTTCTTCCATGTGTTTGGAAAGTCTGCCACAGATGTTTAGCAAATATCCAAATGTGTGGTGTTCTTATTTATCTATTTAAAGCAATGGCTTTTTTAGCCACACTTCCATGAAGCTCTGCTCTGTGGAGTATAGGGCTTAAAATGATCCTTTGGACAGATACTCCCACCTCCGCTGTAGACCTTTGCAGCTCCTTCAGTGTTATCTCTGTTGGTTTATTGCATCTCTGACTAATGCCCTTCTTGCCCAGTCCATGAGTTTCCTTCCATTTTGTTAGAACTGATTTTAATGGTGCTTTTTGCATTCTTCAAAGTTTGTAATAATTTATTTTATTTTTTTTAACCCTTCACCACTTTGTATCTGGCCTGTTTGGAGAGCTCCTTGGTCTTGTTTGCTTTAGTGGTGGTGCAGACTGAGGGGCCTTTCAGAACATTTGTATTATATTTGTACTGACATGCAACACTTTGAAGGTGCAAATTAGGCTTTATTGTGCCACCTGTATGCAAATTCTTAGACATGTTGTGTACATCAAATGATAGCACAAAAAATCCATATTCCAGGTTGCAATGCAACATGAAAAACACCAAAATCCATATTCCAGGCATTCGCAGGGCACCGTATAGAAAGAATTGATGTTTTTACACAATGATGTCATGAGGTTATAGTTACTGGTCAGTGTAAACAATCATTACTCTTATGTCAGTAGGTGGTTTTTTTTTTTTTTGGTTTTTTTTTTTTTTTTCCTAATGATAATCCTTCAGGAAGGTAAAGCTGCTAAACCATGATGGCTGCTACATGTGTATCTCCCATAATCCCCGGTTACTGTTAACACACCAGGCGTGGTGCAGTAAAATGTGCTGCTTAACTTAGATTTCCTTATTGACTGAGATATTTAGCCATTTTTCTGCCATTCTTCATTGTTTCTGTTATGTTTTCCAGCATACAACGACAGCCTACAAGCCTCAAATGTGCAATGCCCGCAAGGCCACTATTTTGAACAGGAAGGGGAAGAGAAAAAACAGTCCTGCCAGTTTAACAGGTCCTCCCTGGGACCCTGCTCCGGGCTGGAAGGAAATGAGTTTTTTGGGTACAATGAAGGAAGCCCCTGTGTGATTGTCAAGATGAACAGGGTACGCTGTTGCATGTCTGTGCGCTGTCTGCAGAAAGTTCAATTTTTCTGAATGTTGGGATGGGCCAAGGTGGCATGAGGTTCCTTTTACGTAGACCAATTATTGGAATTGGGCAGCTTTAAGAAGCCAGAACCATTACATTACATACAGTGCAAGGTCTGCTATTCTGATTGTGTCTGGAGCAAGTTGATCCTGTATGGTGCCTCATAATAAAAGATATGATTGTGAAGTGATCAAATTAATCTATTCCAGTGTTCTCATTTGTATTGTTTTTTCAATATCAATATTTTGTTACAAAGCGCATTATAATCGGATCATATACCAGGGGGGTCAAAGAGATCCATTGTGCCTAATGGGTGAAATTACAGCTGTATTGTAGAAGTCATGGTATTTACCTATCTTTATCCTTCCTTAAGTATTGAAAGAGACAAGCTTCTATAGCTCATATCCAACAGGTAGGTTGGCAGATGCTGATTGGTACATGTCCGGTCCTTAAGATTTGGCTTAATCCATAAATCCTATTGATTTTCTTTACTGAGAAGGAAATGGATTTGAAAAATACCATTATAAGGACTTGTCATATTGAAACAATGCTCCCAGGCACAGGAAACTCATACTGTGATCAGTATAATCACTTTTACATAGAAATACACATTACTCATCACACTTGCCTCCTGCGGTCCTTTTCTAATCAGATTTCTTGGAAATCTTTAACTGTGTTGCCAGATCCATTTACTTTTCTCTGATTGCCTATCAAATATCTTTTGTATGAGCAGTCTTTTCTGAACAAACAAGGCTTCAATTGCCTACTCCTTCAGACTGTATCTATAGGTAACTCTAATGGGAATGCCTGTTCTCTGAAAGTTGTCACTTCCTCTTGTGTCCCTCAGACAGGAAGCATAATCTTGTGTACAGAGACAGTTAAAGAAAAACCTGGTAGATGTTCTAACCAATCCCTGCTGTATCCAAACCTAAATAGAGGGTTTTTTTTTTTTTTTTTTTTGTGGATACTTTTTTATGGACTTTGCCCTTACAGCTTTAATGCATTGGTCAGATTATTAGGGTAATTGGGGAGAGGCACCCCCAATAACGACATTATTATAAAATGTTTATTATCAGACATTTTTGTTTCATGCATTGTTGTGAATGCTCATTTTATGACCATATCTTTTTGTGTATTTTTGTTTTTTTAATAGATAATTGGACTAAAACCGCTAGGAAATCCTAAAATAAACTGTACTTCTAGGGTGAGTATAAGAATTGATTATCCTGCAAATCATGAATAGTGGCAGCATTGTTGTGGCAGTTTAAGATCGTAGCACTTTTGTATTCACAGATTGATACTGCAGGGTTTAATCACCTACCAGTTTCTTTCCAAGAGGCTTTCACTCTTTTAGTACAGCGAGTAAAAGGTATAACCTGGCTGGTGGATTTGTGTGGTCAGAAGAGTTCTCCTTGAATCCTTTTGATAAATAAGCCTGTGAGTGCTGTCCCTGTGGGTGATCGGACGAGATTGTGGTTCTGATACTTTTCTTACAAGAGTATGTGGAGAATTCCCACAATGCCACAGAGCACTGCTGGGGTGTACAGAACACAGCAGGGTCTGTTCCTGTGTAACAGGCTGTAAGCCAGCACCTTTTACCCCCTGTCACACAGTCACACCCTTACTCATTGCCCCACGTGTTTTGTTTTTCTTCAGGCAGCTGTAGCTGAGCTCGGTTAACTCAGTTTGTGAGAGCAGCTGAATACACAAATCCACAATCGTCCCCACAAGCTATGGAACAAATGTTCATAAATCTTGTCCCCTGTACTGCCTCTTCTGCAGGGTGATCCTTCATGCTTTTTAGGGTGTAGCCCAGTATCACCTCATTTATTCATAGCAGTGCAGCTATGTGCCAAAAGTAATGTATTCATTAATAATGATCCTATTGATGTATCCAAGGAAGGGACTGCATAAGGCAATTTCAAATTTATTCAAGTTTTTTATCTGTATTGTATTATAGCAACCCATTGGAATTTTTTCTTTTTACTGGTCTGACTTCAGCCAATCATCAACTTATATCGGCACTGCGATATTGTGGCGGACATTTTTACATTAAACTTTGTGGGAACCAGTGACACGAGTACAGTGATCAGTGCTAAAAATACGATTACTGTACTATTCACACTGGTCGGGAAGGGGTTAATATCTAGGGTTAAGCATGTGCCTAGCTATGTGCTTGGCATATACTAGGTGATGCTGGTACAAGGGGAAGTGTCAGAACAGAGCTCTGCCTATGTAAACCTAGGCAGAGCTCTGTTGTTCCTCTCTGCACTACGATCTGCGGGTGCTGGGACTCTCGGGCTTCTGCTGTGATTACGCCCAGCAGAAGTGATCTGGCGGCGGCGGCGCTTGCACGCCCCCTATGACGGAAGTGCAAAGTCCCGTGTATATACATGTGATTTTGCACAGGAGGGCCGCCCTGTAGCAGTAAAACTGCTATAGGGCGGCCTTTAAGTGTTTAATGTAGCTTCAGGTGTGGAATTTAGAGCAGCCAAAGGAGGGGTGTGATCTTATAATACAATTTGGCTTGTGATGTGTCTCACTGCTTCTGTTTTAGCATTGCTTTGCCTTGCAACAGGATTAATAAATATTTCCCCATTGTGCCTACTGCTATTTTTAATGCAATGGCTTTGACAAGGACCCTCTGACCCATCACATGACAGTACTTGGATGTAGCGATTGGCCACTTGACCTGAGCACTATCAGGAGGGCGGAGGTTACAACCCTACCAAACCAGAAGCACTGCTTATTTTGTACCTCATGAGGTAGTGGAAGGAATGGCAGGTGATAGCTGAAAACTATGAATAATGTCTTTTAATACATATTTCATATTTTTTTTTTTTTGTAATGTACATGAGGGAATGTTTCCTAACGTGCCATTCTAACCTTTGCAGGTAGAAAACGTCAGCCTGCAGTATTACCCTGAATACGGGAAGATAGATTTGATGTACTTTCCGTATTATGGAAAGAAAACTCATGTAAGTGACATCTCTAGAGATGGGTTCTACAATGATTGGTTTTGTTAGCACTTTAAAGCAGAACACAAGCTTTTTTTTTTAATTTCCTTTTTTGTCACTCTCATTTGTGCATATTAAGGTTTTGATGTAGGGAAATGTCATGTCATAGTGAGAAGGAAAAATTTTCTTCCCCAAAAATCACAAGTTCATGAAAGCTGTGCAGTACACAGAAGATTCTAAGTACTGTATATACTCGAGTATAAGCCGACCCGAATATAAGCCGAGGTACCTAATTTTACCACAAAAAACTGGGAAAAAATATTGACTCGAGTATAAGCCGAGGGGGGAGGAATAGTGCCCCATCATTTCAGTGTGTCAGTGGGGGGAGGAATAGTGCCCCATCGTTGGTGTCAGTGGGGGGAGGAATAGTGCCCCATCGTTGGTGTCAGTGGGGGGAGGAATAGTGCCCCATCGTTGGTGTCAGTGGGGGGAGGAATAGTGCCCCATCATTGGTGTCAGTGTGGGAGGAATAGTGCCCCATCGTTGGTGTTAGTGGGGGGGAGGAATACTGGTGTCCCATCGTTGGTGTCCGTGGGGGGAGGAATAGTGCCCCATCGTTGGTGTCAGTGGGGGGGAGGAATAGTGCCCCATCGTTGGTGTCAGTGGGGGGAGGAATAGTGCCCCATCGTTGGTGTCAGTGGGGGGAGGAATAGTGCCCCATCGTTGGTGACCCCTGCTCTAGCCTGGGCTCGCTCGCTCCCTCGCTCTCCCATGGTACACACCTACCGGTCAGATGTCTTCCTTCTCCGGCCGCTCTCCTCCTCTTCACTTGCTCGATCTTCGCGGTGCCGCTCGGCTCCTCCTCTCCAAGCTCCACCTCCTCGCCGGTGATTGGGCGCCTCTGTGCCTCTCCTGAGCTACAGTTCCGGCGGCCAATCACCAGGCGAGGATTGATCCCGGGGGTGTGTCCAGATGACAGGGACGGCATGTCATCTGCAGACGTTGACTCGAGTATAAGCCGAGGGCTATATACTCGGCTTATACTCGAGTATATACTGTATGTACTTACTAGACTAAAGGTGTCGTATACAAAAGAAAAGGCATAACAAATTGTTTAGCAGGATGAAAACCGAGCACTCTTTCCTTTCATTTGATAGAAGATAACTTCCCAGATAACATCGGAAATCTTTATGTGTACTGCCCCTTGAATTTTTTTGCAGCATGGGAGTTTAAGTGATTGTAAAGGTTCATATATGATTTTGCACAGAACTGCCCTGAATCTCTTCTGGGGTTCCTCGTAGGTGCTCTTGGCTCCTTCTCCCTACTGAGTGCCCCTATAGCAAGCCGCTTGCTAGGGGGCATTTGTGTGGGCTTGTATTTGAGCCAGGCTGTGGGCGTCACAGACACAATGCAGTTTGGCCCTGCTCTCTTCTCACAGATTTGACTGACAGCTACAGGAATCAATGGCTCTCACTGCTATCTGAGTCCTTGAGGTGAAAGAGCAGCAATGTTGCTGTCCGGCACAGTGCATGGTTAATGCTGGGCTCAGATAAGTATTTAAGGGGAGGCCTGGGGGAGCCGAACATGAAAGGTGTTTGTTTTTGTTTTTTTTTTTTTTTTTTTTTCTACCTTAATGTAGAGCATTTCACTGACTGGTGCATGCACTGCAAGATTGTGTGCATGCACCGTCTCTTCTGAGTATTTTAGACCTGGCTTAGACCTGTGGCTTGCCTACACATGCGCAGAATCCCACTGTACATGCACACACATGATGCAGGTCTCAACTAAGTCCAAAATACTTGGAGACCTGTGATATACAGTTAAATACATATATATTTGGACACAGGCATTATTTTCTTAGTTTTGGCTCTGTAAGCCACCAGAATAAATTAAAACGAAACAATCCAAATGAATTTGAACTGCAGACTTTCAGCTTTAATTCAAGGGTTGAACATAAATATCAAGTACAAATTTTAGGAACTGCAACCATTTTTTTATGCACAGTCCCTCCATTTTCAGGAGCTCAAATATAACTGGACAAATGAATATAATCATAAGTAAAATGTTAGTTTTTAATGTTTTGTTGAGAATCCTTTACTGGAAATGACTGCCTGAAGTCTGGAACCCATGGACATTACCAAAGACTGGGTTTCTTCCTTTTTGATGCTTTGCTAGGCTGTAACTGGAGCTGTCTTCAGTTTTTTTCTTTTGTGGGTCTTTTCACCTTTTTAGTTTTGCCTTCAGCAAGTGAAATGCATTCTCAATTGGACATAAAACATGGTATGTATCTACATATACATATACGTGCCGCGCTCCATAATAAAGTGAACAACTCATATACTAGTGATAATTCAAGCAATAACGTGAACAAAATAAATGTGCTTCAAGCAAGTGCAACATATAGTGCATATCAAAATAATGTTCATCCAATCTTTAAACCGGTAATATAAACAGTCCTCTTTATACTTCTATAATATTTCAGTGACAAGTGAGGTGTATTGTGCCACACTCCTAAGTGAGGAGTGCTGATGCACCATTAGCTATATGTGATTCTAGTTATTTACTTATCACGTTAAGGGGAGTATCACATTTTGGCTCACGAGTATTATCAATCGCATTCTCAATTGGGTTGAGATCAGGTGATTGACTTGGCCATTGCAGAATATTCCACTTCTTTTCCTCCTGGGTTGCTTTTGCAGTGTGTTTTGGATCATTGTCCATCTGTACTGTGAAGCACCGTCCAATCAACTTTGCTGCATTTGGCTGAATCTGGGCTGACAGTATGTCTCTAAACACTGCAAAATTCATCCGGATGCTTCTGTCTTTTGTCACATCATCAATAAACACCAACGACTCAGAGCCACTGGAAGCCATACATGCCCATGCCATCACACTGCCTCCACCATGTTTTACAGTTGACGTTGTGTGCTTTGGATCATGAGCTGTTCGAAACCTTCTCCACACTTTTTTTTTTTTTCTTCCCGTTATTCTGGTACAGATTAAACTTAGTTCCACTTTATTGTGACAGGCAGCCTTTATTGCCAGAGATCACCTTTAACAGGAAAGTTAAAATGGAACTAAACCCACTGATTTATGGTTTCCCAAAACTGTTACATTTAAGGCATGCACTTTTCCAGCCAGCTTCTCTTTATTGTGATCATGTGTGCCAAGGCCCAATTCATTTCTATGAGGAGAGCCGTACTCTGAACAACAGCAATAGGCTGTCATGAGTACAGCTACCCAAAAGAATAAATATGACTGTGGTGAGCATGCACAAAATGAAAAGATGCTGGCCTGGACGTGGGGTAGGGGATTTACTAAACTTTTCAAGTCGATGGGCCGCATGTATGCAGCCTCTCAGCAGCTGGGCTTAATGCCCAACAGCTGCATGTATGTGTCTATATGTAAACCATTTACTGTACTGGGAGCACGGTCACTATGCTCTCCAAGGCACAGTAACTGTGTTGCGGAAAGCTCCCGATTGCCGGAGTTTTCCAATCATGTAACCACTGTGACAGCAATCACATGATTGGAATGCCTGCCTCCACCTCTTGACATTTAGATACTCTTAAAGGGATAGGAAGTCGTGGTGGGAAGGGGTAAAACACAAATGCACCAAAGGGGAAATTGCCCTTTTTTAAAATGATCTTTTAGCCAAAACAAAGTACAGAATGGTTAAGACCTCATCTGGAGATCTAATTTTATGCTTCGGAGACAAAACCAAGGGTGGAAGCAATACACTCTTGGTTATCACAAGATGGCATATAGCATTTCCCATCATTTTCTGTCCCAGTAATAATGGTGACCAAGAAAGAATAGGGTATGGTAGGGACTGCTGGAAGGAACCACATTGCTTGTTGGTTCAAAATGAGGTGGATTTTATGAGTACTGTAGCACGGGTGTTGGGACAGGTAATTAGAAGATCTCCTCTCTACAGGGGCACCATTGTTTCTCATTACATGGCTACTTTAATGAGTTTCTTACTATTCCAGCAGTGATCTCTCAAATGGCATCAATCAGTGTGCCTGATGGGACTTCAGATCTACTACCAGACAGTAGATGACAGAGCAGGCGTGAAAAGTGTCACTACAGATTTCCAAAGGATTATCCCCATTAATCATATATTTTACCCTAGCTTTACTTACACTGTGGCTGTTTTTTTGTTTTTGTTTTTTTTTTAAATTTCCGTGTATGTTGTTTGAAAACCACATCCTATAAGCTGGTGCTGTCTTCTAGATCTGTAATTATTGCGGTTATTAGTTTCAGGAATGACTGTTTTCTTGAGATAACCTTCCTGTTACTTTCTCCCTTTCTGCAGTTGCAATACGTGCAGCCTTTGGTTGCAGTGAAAATCACACCTTCCAATTCTACCGGTTCGTCAGAGATAGTGCTAGAGTGCAAGCTTCATGGCTCTCCTAACCTGAAGAACGAGGACGAGAGAGACAAGTTCCTTGGCCGAGTCAATTTCAGAGTCCAAATTAGGGATTAAAACTAGGCAGCTAAACAGTGTCCAATTGAATACATTGTTTTTTTTTTGTTTTGTTTTTTTTTTTAATATTATTATTTTTTTTTTTTAATTAGCCATACCTGCTTTTGTAGGATTTGAAACCATCTGGGAAACCGATGTAAATGGCACATGATCCAGGGTAGCATAACAAGTGTGCTTCCAGTCCTGATGATTTATCCTCTTCTGTGCTGAGATATGGATGGAGTTAATTCTTCCCGTATCCCCAGGTCACAAGTGGTTAAATCTTCCCTTAAACGCATCTCTAAGGCCCTGTGTGGGGCCAGTTTACAAACCATTTAAAAGAAATAAATTATCGTTTCATATTAGGGGACCTGTAAATAGCTGATTCTGAACATTATACTGGTGGTGTTCGTCATATTTTTGATGTGATTTTATCCCCCCTCTTCCCCCTCACCCAAAGCCCCCTCTGTGAGTGTTACAAAGCTTAATGTGTTGTGCTATGTAAATATTTAATTGATTTAACACTGGTTTAACGGTCATATCTCAAACGCCTACACAGTTTTAGGGAACAAAAATGACAAACAAGTGAATGGTACCTGACCAACATGTACAAACAAATATAAGGAATTAAAAATGATTAAAAAAACAAAAAAAGGAAAGATTTTATAACCTCTGCAAGAGTTGTGTGTCTTGTGCAGATGCCTTAAGTTCTGTATGAAAAAAGCAAAATAAAGTGGATTTTAAAGGTGGTAATTGGCAGCATTGGATTTATTTGCACTTCAAACCTAGGTTTTTGAAAAGATTATTCAGATTAAAACTGCATGCATGCTAGCATCTGATTTCCTCTGTGAATGCCATTACAGGTAGTTCTTATACTGACTTCCTATCATCCCTTACATGCAGTCAGGACCGTGTGTGTGAGTGCATTGACCCTTATTGATAACCAGGGTGATTGACTGATGTGTCAGAAAGCTTGTTGAGTTTAAACGATAGGAGCAGGGCTCTCCTTTTTATAGAGCACTTATGCCTAGGAAGTAATTGATACATAAACCGTACCCTCTGACTGCATATAAGGTGACATGCTGTAAAGCAAGTGTGAATCAAATTGCTAATATCTGATAAAAGCATCAACATGTTAATGAAATCCCAAAGTATTTTTACATCTGCAGCTTTCAATTAGACAATTGGTGATTAAGGCCCCCGTTCAGACACTTCATTTTCTTGCATTGTCACATAAGGGCTTTTTTTCCCTCCAGAGAATAGGTGCAGGAACTCCACCCCCCCCCCCCCCCCCCCCCCCCCCCATGGTGTGCGCTGTGTTAAAGGGTGGGTGTGGCCAGATAGTACAGTAGGTGGGCCTTACATGGGCATTGTAAACCTCTGCACCACACTGTCCACAACTCAACTCTGCCCCCATCCTCAGCTTCTCTGACACCACTATCTACAGCTCACCTCTGCATCCCTGTCCACAACATGCTTTGGTACCCTGTCCAAAACTGTTCACCGCTCACCTCTGCACCCCCGTCCACAACTCATCTCTGCACTCCCTGCCATAGCTCACTTTTACACCCCCATCCACAACTCACACCCTGCATCTCGTCAAATATTGTCTGCATCCCCTGTCCGCAACCCATCTCTGCACCCACTCTTCTCCTTCCATGACTGCAGCTCACCCCTGGCCATAGTGAACTCCTGTTCACAACTCACCTTTGCACTTTTTTCTACAGCTTATCTCTGCAAACCCCCCCCCCTTCACTCCAGAGAACACGTTGGCCTACCCTTGTGGGCAACCTTCCCAGAAGAGTTGAAACTTATAGCTTCAAAGGGTGGGCCAATTTAATATTGAACCCTACGGACGAAGACTGGGATGCCATTAAAATAAATGTGTGTGTAAACTCAGGTGTCCCAATACTTTTTGGCAATATAGTGTAACTATCACTATATAAGCTCACCATACCCTAACCCCCTTGACTTCTTTTTTTTTGGGTATGTTAAAGTGTGTACTCAATGAAAATCAGATATGAATCACCTGAAGGAACATATCATGAATGAATGTGCTCAAATTGATGGAAATGTGGAGTTGATGTGAATCTTGCAAAGCACATGGAACTTTACATCACAAGTGATGGAAATTGCATTGAAGATGTTATTGACTAATATTCCAATTAAAACATTTTATTGAAAATATGCATTTTGCCTATGTGTCCAGACTTTAGGGACACCCTGCAACAGGTAACTCCTATAATGAAATATATATAAATATTACTGTGCAAAAAAAGCTGTAAATTAGGAATACTTTCAGAAATAGAACAGGGCAATGAGCAAAAAAAAACCATACAGCCAATGTCATTAAGAACTATCTTCAGCATAAAGAAGAACCAAGTGTCCTGACAGTGATGGTTTGACTCCCATAGAGCGCTGATCTCAACGTCATTGAGTCCGTCTGCGATCACATGAAGAGACAGAAGGATTTGAGGCAGTCTACATCCACAGATGATCTATGGTTAGTTCTCCCAAAATATTTGGAACAACCTTCCTGCTAAGTTCTTTCAAAAACTGTAAATGTACCTAGAAGAATTGATGCTGTTTTGAAGGCAAATGGTGGTCACACCAAATGTTGAGTTGGTTGATTTGTCTTCTGTTCATTCACTTTACGTTTTGTTAATTGATAAAAATAAACTATTAACACTTCTATTTATGAAAGCTTTCTTAATTTACAGCATTTTTCACACCTGCCTTTTGCACAGTACTGTATGTCTAGCCATTCGCACTTTAATTTTTTTGTGTTTATCCCATGTAGCAAAGCCCACAAGGACATTTTATCATACAGACTACATAGCTACTAAACATGTTAAAAAGAAAAAAAAACGTACATTTATATCTGCTGTGAATGATTAAACGTACTGCCCTTGTTCATGTTAGAGTAATGAATACAAAACATGGAAAGCATCCTGGTTTCTTGGGAACTTTAAAGGTGCCACCTTTTGAAACATGTTACAACCATATTTAGGATATATAACCGTGCAAAGGAAACCTCCCACCCCTGGAATACCTTCTTCCTTCCTCTGTTTCAGCATGTAGAGATTCTTCTCCCTCACAGCTGCTGTCACTTTTGAAATTGTCTATCTGTGAATGAATGAACTGCAGCAGACAGACTTGTAGTTCTCAATGGCATACAAGTGCAATAATCACTATCCTTGAGGACTTTGCGACATCCATGTCTGCCTTGTCTGTTTCTGATTGCCCTCGTTGAGGTCTCTATCCTGGAAAAGGAGAGTGGGGGGGGGGGCGTTGGAGGCCGCTACCTCCCCTTCTCATCCTCCCAGGAGGAATCCCCCCCATTATATCATCAAAGCCTCGTGACACGATCTCCGTTTTTATTGATAAGATGAGGATGGGTTGGTCTGGTCCCATCAGAGGTCTCCTGACCTAAGGTTACAAGCATAGATTCCCTTAAGTGCAAAACTGCCTAAGACTTTTCTCTGAGTAAACTCCTTGGAGGAGGACATACTTTATAGTGACTGGCCTCATTTTGAGGTTTATGCCCTGACAAAACATTTTGCTCAACAATATCCTGTTGGGGATTAGTTTCTGTTGCTAATTCAGCTATTGTCTTAACAGGTTTCTGTCAGTGCCTGTGGGGGGACATTCCAGGATGCTGTGGATAAGATACTTGATGATATCTTTCACCCTGATTGGTCTTGCAATGCAGTCTGATGTTGCCTCTATGGTGTCATACTCTTGCAGTATGGACAAAGTGTATATCTGGGGACTGGAATCTATTTCTGTGGACCCTGAGGTCCTTCAGCATTTGGACTGACTGCCCTTAGATATTGCTTGAATGGGCTGACTTACTCCCTATGTCAAATGTCTATAGCCGGCCACCTATCTTTCAGATGCACCGACTTTTTTAGCTCAAATACTCAGCTTATCTGGCGTGTAAGAAACAGCTGGAGAGTATTTCCTTTGTTGGTGGACGTCTCTTTGGCCAGGACCTTGACTGCTTTATCAAGAATGTAACTGGGAGTATGAATACCCTTTAACCTAGCAAACACATGTCTAAGACTCCTGCAAATATGTCCCCAACCTCTACCCAGAGGAAAGGTTCCTTTTTGTTCCTCACCAGGTATATTCTTTCTATTCTATTATAAGCTATCATTCTATTCTGTTTTATTCTATTCAGTTCTGTTTTTTTATTATATTCTACACTATTCTTTTGTAGTCCTATTTTATTCTATTCTTTTTTTTCTTTTATTTTCTATTTTATAAAGCAGCCTAAGTGTGGCTCATCATCTTTTATCACTATTCTACCTTACTGTATTTTTTTGCAATATGTTTCAATTTCCAATTCATTTTTGAATTTTGCTAAATTGTTTTTTTATAATTTACTTTGGATTTGTTGAAATTCATTACTATTGTGATTCAGATACATTCGAATAATGAAAATGTTGTCCAAATTTCAATTTGCACATGTCTAACACAGATCAGCGCTGCATCCTGTTGCCTGCAGCACTGATCAAGCGGCTCCTATACGACAGGGCGCTTGAACTGAAAATGATTAGTAGATCGACTTCTGTTCAATCATAGTGTCCTCAAATGCTGAACTGACCAAATTTCGATCCATGTATGCTTCAGGCCTCTACCCCTCCCTGCTTCATGAACTCCAACCTGCAGGCTCTTCAAGTTTCTCTCCAACAGCCTGTTTACTTGGGGATCATTATATCAGTTCCAGTCACCGAGAGGTTTCAAGGCTTTTACTCCAACCTCCTACAGTCCCAGTGGTGGTGTGTCCCGTCTTGGACCTTAAGGTCCTCAACAAGTACTTTAAAAATCTGGAATATCAGCAGGGATTCTGCCTGATCTTTCATTGCCTCCCTCCAACAAGGGGATTTCCTGGCTTCTTTGGACATCACAGATGCTTATATGCATGTCCCCATTTATCCCCCACACCAACACTTTCTGTGCTTTTCCCTAGGTGAGAATTATTTTCAATTTGTGGCTCTTCCTTTTGGGTTGTCCAC